TTTTTTTTGAGATGGAGTTTCACTCTTGTTGCCCAGACTGGAGTGCAATGGTGTGATCTCAGCTCACCGCAACCTCCACCTCCCGGGTTCAAGCGATTCTCTTGCCTAAGCCTACTGAGTAGCTGGGATTACAGGCATGCACCACCTTGTGTGGCTGATTTTTGTAGAGACAGGGTTTCTCCTGTTGGTCAGGCTGGTCTTGAACTCCTGACCTCAGATGATCCACCCGTCTTGGCCTCCCAAAGTGCTGGGATTACAGGCGTGAGCCACTGCGCCCGGTCATCAGGCTCAGGTTTTACAAGTAGGAAAGACTCACGTTTCCATCTGGTTTTGCCACTTCTTTACTGGGCAAACCAGCCTTTCATTTGGATTTTTAATCTGTGAAGTGAGGAATAATACCATCTATCTCAAAGGGATATTCTGAGAATTAGAATGTATGTAAAGCACTTGGCACATAAGAGGTAATAAATAAATAATAGCAGGATAGGCAACAACAACAACAAAACCCTCAACACATCTACTTCTATCCAAATCTGGAGTCTTTTCCTCTATACCAGTGGTTTGTTCTTAACCAAGGCAATTTTGCCTCCCAAGGATATCTGGCAATGTCTGGAGACATTTTTGGTTGTCACCACTGGGGAATGCTATTGGCATCTAGTGGGTAGAGGCCAAAGATGTTGCTAAACATTCTACAATGCACACAGCAGTGTTCCACAAGAAACAATTATCCAATCCAAAACATCAACAGTGAGAAGTCCTGCCATACAGCAGGCATTCTTTGATACTCAATAGGGGTAAGCTACTTCACCTTTCCTAGCCATCCTCACTAGCAATGTGGGAATAAATTTATCTGTGTTCCCTTCCTCATCAAGCTGTTGGGGGGTTTAAATGAAGTAACGGATGAGAGGCATTATTATCATTACACCTTTTACTACATACACAAAAGTTTCCACTTGCTGAGCAAAGACAGAAGCATTCACATACTGGGGAGGGAGACAGGGAGGTTAATGGGGTAGAATTCTCTGTTTGGAGGTGCCATGATCTAAAGAGAGCCTCCTGCCTATATACCTGCTTAGTGAGGGCCAAGAGACTTCTCATGAATAGTGATGGCACAGGAGCACTTATGTCTCAGGGAGAAAGAGGAGTAAAGTGGAATGTGGGAAGTGGGTAGGAACAGCACAGGCATATCAAAGAGGAGCTGACAGATGTTAGGAAGTGAGACACTGCTTGGGCTGTCATAACAAAATAACATAGATTTGAGGGCTTAAAACAACAAAAATTTATTTTCTCACAGTTCTAGAGGCTGCAAAGTTCAAGATCAACGTTCTAGAAAGGTTCAGTTTCTCAGGATCAATCTCTTCCTGGTTTGTGGACAGCTGCCTTCTCGCTATGTCCCATATGGCAGGGGGAAGGTGAGGAAAAAAAAGCCTCTTTCTCTATTTATTTATTTTTTGAAACAGAGTCTCACTGTATTGCCCAGGCTGGAATGCAGTAGCACAATCACAGCTCACTGCAGCCTCAACCTGATCCTTGCAGCTCAGCCTCCCATGTAGCTGGGACTACATATGTGTGCCACAACACCTGGCTAATTTTTTAAATTTTTTGGTAGACAGGGTCTCCCTTTGTCACCCAGACTGGTCTTGAACTTCTAGCTTCAGGTGATCCTCCTGCAACAGCCTCCCAAAGTGATGGGATTATAGGTGTGAGCCCGGTTATAGGCACGTGCCTGGATCACATTTTATGTCCTTCCTCTTTTCCTAGGCACAACATTTTTGGGACAGCCCTTCACACACACACACACACACACACACACACACACACACACACAGTACTTAAAGGAGAGAGTTTTCTGGAAATATGAGGGGAAGCAGCAGGAGAAACCAAATGGAGGTTTTAAAAAAGCGTGCATCTGGGAGGCTGAGGCAGGAGAATGGCTTGAACCTGGGAGGCAGAACTTGCAGTGAGCCAAGATCGTGCCATTGCACTACTGGCTGGGCAACAGTGCAAGACTCCATCTCTAAAAAAAAACAAAGCCTGCAGCTTGCCGAAGGAGAGAGAAGTCTGGTGAAAGATAAAAGAAGGGGCAGGAGTGGGAATGGAGCTGTCACAGGGATGTAAGTGGGGGTGGTAGGATTCAAAAGCGAATTAGTAAACACATAATAAGTCAGCAGCCCCAGAGGCTGCACGTGAAGGGCCTTGCCTTGGGCAGATAAAGATAACAAGAGACAGATCCATCTCCTGGTGTCATCGCCATCCCTCCACTACCCATCTTTATTCTTACATTCCAACAACACTCCCTCAGGAAAGGATGGCATGGCCTCACTCATGTCAAGCTACAAGAGTATTTTAATAGGGGACAATGACAATAAACCAAAAGAATACAGTAGAAAAGAAGGAATTTCAGGCACATTTACTGAACAACAAGGAACAAGAGAGAAGACAAACCTTTCTTTTCTTTTCTTTTGAGACAGAGTCTTGTTCTGTCGCCCAGGCTGGAGTGCAGTGGCACGATCCCGGCTCACTGCCACCTTTGCCTTCTGGGTTCAGATGATTCTCCTGCCTCAGCCTCCTGAGTAGCTGGGACTACAGGCCTGTGCCACCATGCCCAGCTACTTTTTGTATTTTTAGTAAAGACAGGATTTTACCATGTTGGCAAGGCTGATTTCAAACTCCTGACCTCAAGTGATCTGCTGGCCTTGGCCTCCCAAAGTGTTAAGATTACAGGCGTGAGCCACTGTGTCCTGGCCAAAATCTTTCTTTTGGTAAATCATATCACACCAGTTCTGGTGTCTAATGGTGGTCAACTGTGCTGCTCATCTGCTCATTGTGTAGTTCTCTAACAATAACATAAAAAATGTGGTATATTACTGACATCCAGTCCTCCCTGATGAAAACTGTGATATTGACAGAAAGATCACATCACAGACTTTGCAAACTTTAGGGAGAGCATTATGCCTATGTACATCATCAGTCATGGATGGTAAATTTCCCTTATTGAAACTGAAAGTCAAGACATTTGGATTCTGAGTCAAACTCCACCCTCATACATTTTTTTTTTGAGAAGGAGTCTCACTGTGTTACTCAGACTGGGGTGTAGTGGCGTGATCTTGGCTCACTGCAACCTCTGCCTCCCGGGTTCTAGCGATTCTCCTGCCTCGGCCTCCCAGTAGCTGGGATTACAGGCACATGCCACCACACCTAGCTAATTTTTCTATTTATAGTAGAGACGAGGTTTCACCATGTTGTCCTGGCCAGTTTCAAACTCCTGACCTCAAGTGATCCACCCACCTGTGCCTCTCAAAGTGCTGGGATTACAAGCGTGAGCCACTGCGCCCAGCCCCACCCTCACACTTTCTGCTTAACTCTGCCACATTATTTTTCCTCTTAACATCTTTATGTGTAAAATACAAAAATCTCAAAGGAAATTTGATTGAATTTGCCCTGGGAAACAAAAGTAGGAAGAAAGAAAAAGGGGAGGGAAACATTGAAAAGATGCTTCAGAAATAGATTTTTTTGGCCGGGCATAGTGACTTACGCCTGTAATCTCAGCATTTTGGGAGGCAGAAGAGGGTGGATCATGAGGTTAGGAGATCAAGACCATCCTGGCCAACATGATGAAATCCAGTTTCTACTAAAAAATACAAAAATTAGCAGGGCAGGTGATGCATGCCTGTAACCCCAGCTACTCAGGAGGCTGAGGCAGGGGAATCACTTGAACCACGGAGTCGGAAGTTGGAGTGAGTCAAGATTGCGCCACCGCACTCCAGCCTGGTGACAGAGCAGGACTCTGTCTCAAAAAAAAAAAAAAGGAAATATATTTTTTAAAGTATTCCCTTCATTGAAAGTCAAGCTAAATATGTTCTAAGTTACTATTTAGATGATACAGAAATGAAATACTATCAGAAGAAAAGGCTTGTACATATTTTAGTGAAAACAGAAAAGTCTTTACCTTATCATTTAGAAGTGGTTTGATCTCTGTGAGTTGAACATCCTGAAGTTCATCCATGAGGACAGATGAGAGTAGAGGAGTCTCAAGAATAAATTGGTAACTCTGAAACAGAGAAGAAAGAAGTGAAGAAAAAGGCTTATGCCAGGAGTTGGAAACAAAATAGTCACAGTACACCCATTCATTCAAATATGAGACTTGGGTTTGTGCCATGCCCTGCTCAGGGTGCTAAAGACACAGTTACAGCAGACAGACACTAAAGTGGTCTGTAGGATTCTTGCCTCCTGGTACTCACATCCTTGCATAATCCCCCCAGTGAATTTGGGTGGAACCTGTGGCTTACTTTTAACCAGCAGAANGATCCCTCCCTCCTGGTATTCATATTCTCTGTAATCTCCTTCCTTTAGTGCAGATCAGAGCTAGTGACAAGATTTTAACGAGTAGAATATGGCAAAAGTGATGGAATGTATATAAGTGACTTTACATGATTGCATTACATAATATTTTCACATCTGTCTTGCTGAGGGCCACTCTCCCCTACTAGGTTTGAAGAGGCAAGCTGATGTGCTGTGACAGGACCATGTAACAAGGAACTGAGAGCAGCCTCCAGTGGAAAGACAGCAAGACACTAAGACCCTCAGTTCAACAATCTACAAGGAACTGAATGCTGCCAACAACAGGATGGAAGCAGATCCTTCCCCAGCTGAGCGTCAGATAAGAAGCTGACCGACACCTTGATCGGTGTGTTGTAGAGGACCTACACAACCCACACTAGACTCCTGAACCACAGAAACTGTGAGGCAATGAATGCGTGTTGTTTTAGGCCACGACATTTGCAGTAATATTTTTATGCAGCAACAGATTAATACAATTAATACAATAGTCTTTGCCCTCATGGAACACACATTTTAGTTACTGAAGATGGATAAAGAAACAACATACTCAAAGCTATGCTTGGAACAGACTGAAAGATGGATTAAGCAGGGACAAAAATTGAAGGTTATTACTGCAGGATGAGGCCTTGAATTAGGAATGGCAGTGGGAATGGAGGAGGAGGGAACCAAGGCTAAGCTTACTAATTCTCATTTAGGGAATCACAGCAGTGGATGAAAGGTATGGTAGTCAGCTCCAAGATGGCCTTTAATGAGCCCAGTGATCCTTGACTCCTGATTTTCATTTACACATATGTATAATCCCCCACCCAAATAAATCAGGGATGGCTCGTGTACTAATAGAATATGGAGGAAACAACAATAAGTGACTTCTGAAGCTACATCATAAAACACAGTACAGTGTCTGCTTCAAGACACTACAGTCTTAAACTACTAGTTCTGGGGGAAGCTAGCCACCATATAATTAAGACACTCAAACAGGCCTTTGGAGGGGCCCACATGGAGAGGAACTAACTTGCCAGTACCAACCTGCTAGCCATGTGTGTGAGCTACTTTGCGAATGAATCCTCTAGCCCCAGTCAAGAGTTTGGATGACTAAAGCCCCAGGGACATATGGCTGCAACCACACGAGAGACCCTAGACTAGAACTACCCTACCAAGCCTGCTCCCAAGTTCCTGACCCACAGAAATCATGAGAGAGAATAATTTTGTTTTAGAGTGATCTATAGCAATTGATAACTAATATAGAGGAAAAGCAGAATGGGGAGTTTAGAGAGAAGGGGCAAGTTGGAGAGAGGTAGGCAGGATAATGAGCTACAAATTCTTCTTCCATCCCACCATACAGAAGCCAGGCGGATAGGCTGCAAATACTCAATATTGCAGGAAAGTGATTCCCACCTAGACTTCAAAGTTTCAGGCATCATCCTTTTTGCCTGCCTCTAAACCTATCAAGTCAGGAAAATGTTGTTAATTCGGAGTTGGGGATTTACATTTAACCACCATTTACTGAATACCCACTGCACTATGGAAGATACAAAAAAGGTCCCTGCCTCTAAAGAGCAGAGATGACATAGATCTATAAACTGATAAATAAAAAGAAGGGCCATAGGAGTTCAAAGGAGAAGCAATTACATCTGATTGGTGGAAATCAAGAAAGCCTTCAAAAGATATTAGTCTAGAGAGAGAGAGAGAGAGAGAGAGAGAGAGAGAGAGAGTGTGTGTGTGTGTGTGTGTGTGTGTGTGTGTGTGTGTGTTTTGAGACCTAGTCTTGCTCTGTCACCCAGGCTGGAGTGTAGTGGCGGGATCTTGGCTCACTGGAACCTCTGCCTCCTGGGTTCATGCAATTCTCGTCCCTCAGCCTTCTAAGTAGCTGGGACTAGGGGCACTCACTATCATGCCCAGCTAATTTTTGTATTTTTAGTAGAGACAGGGTTTCACCATGTTAGCTAGGCTGGTCTTGAACTCCTGTTCTCAAGTGATCCACCAGCCTCAGCCCCTCAAAGTGCTGGGATTATAGCTGTGAGCCACTGTGCCTGACCTAGTATACTATATTAATCCACTTTTCTATTTACCTTCTAGAAATAGAATGACAAGATTTTTATTTAATTACCTATGGAGAGGTTATGTGTCCCAGGCTACCTTTTAGCTGTTACTGCCCAACACACTAAAATAAATCCTGCTCCCAACTATGCCTATGTTAGGACAGACTAACAAAAAAAGCCTTCTTATCATTTAATTCAAGGGACCCAGGGGGTGCCTACTGGGAACACTCCTCAGGCTATGAACCCCACATGCTAACTGTGAATATTCCAAAAGTATGACCCACCTAGAGAGCACAAGTTTGATGATGTTTAACCTCCCTATAGGGCAGTGGTTCTTTTGTCAAATCCCAGGCACCCATATACTTGATTGATCTACTTAATACTCAGAAGTTGAATCTTTATTTTTTTTTTATACCAGTCACATTTCAAAAGGTTAGCTTGACTCCTACACAGTGAATTTCAGCCAGCATCTACATTCTCTCTTTCACAGTCCCCACTGAACTCTCAAAATATTGGCCTAACTGGAATCTACTCCTTGTTTATTAATAACACTATAAACTGTGGCTACTTTTTATTTGTACTTTACTATTTATCAGTTATTTAAAATGGCAATTTAAAAGCTTTTTCTGGCTGGATGCAGTGGCTCACACATGTATTCCCAGCACTTTGGGAAGCTGAGGTGGATCACTTGAGGTCAAGAGTTCGAGACCAGCCTGGTCAACATGGTGAAACCCTGTCCCTACCAAAAACACAAAAATTAGCTGGGTGTGGTGGCACACATCTGTAATTCCAGTTACTCCGCAGGCTGAGGCATGAGAATCGCTTGAATCCAAGAGGTGGGGGTTGCAGTGAGCCAAGATCAGGCAACTGCACTCCAGCCTGGGCAAGAGAATAAGACTGTCTCAAAAAAAAAAATTTTTTTTTAAAGTTTTTTCTCTTTTATAAAAGCAGTATGTGCTCATTTTAGAAAATACAGAAATCAGGCAGGTGCGGTGACTCACAATTGTAATCCCAGCACTTTGGGAGGCCGAGGTCAGGTGTTCATTTGAGGTCAGGTGTTCAAGACCAGCCTGGCCAACATGGTGAAACCCCATCTCTACTAAAAATACAAAAATTAACTGGCAGTGGTGGCATACGCCTGTAATCCCAGCTACTAAGGAGGCTGAAGCAGGAGAATCGCTTGGTCCTGGGAGGCGGAGGTTGCAGTGAGCTGAGATTGTGCCACTGCACTCCAGGCTGGGCAACAGAGTGAGACCCTGTCTCAAAAAACAAAAAAATAAAAACAACAAAAAAGAAAATACAGAAATCAGGTGGGAACGGTGGCTGACACCTGTAATTCCAGCACTCTGGGAGGCTAAGGTGGGTGGATCACCTGAGGTCAGGAGTTCGAGACCAGCCTAGACAACATGTTTGAAACCCCCCTCTACTAACAATACAAAAATTAGCCAGGCGTGGTGGTAGGGGCTGTAATCTGAGCTACTCGGGAGGCTGAGGCAGGAGAATCCCTTGAGCTCGGGAGGCAGAGGTTGCAGGGAGCCGAGATCATGCCACTGCACTCCAGCCTGGGTGATAGAACAAGACTCTATCTCAAAAAAAAAAAAAAAAAAAAAAAAAAAAAAAACAAAAAAGAAAATACAGATATGGAAATCACAGAATAATGAACAAATAATTTACTCATAGGCCTTCCATCTAAAGAAAACCATTTTAGCATATTTCTACTTGTTCTTTTTTCCCACTTAAATGGTGATTTGCTGAAATTGTTTGTTCAACTCACCCACTTTATTCCCTGCTTTAATTCACTCACCGGAAAGCAATGGACTTCAAGATGGGAATTATTCAAATATGACTTCACATGGGTGGGCCTGTCAAATGATCAGAGAAAGGCCTAAAGTGCCCTCAAGTCCAAAGTGACTGGCATTAACCTAGTGCTCTTTTTTTTTTTTTTTTTTTTTTTTTTAGATGTGGTCTTATTCTTATTTTTTCACCTAGGCTGGAGTGCAATGGCACAATCATGGCTCTCAACCTCCGAGGCTCAAGCAATCCTTCCACCCCAGCCTCTCAAGTAGCTGAGACTACAGGCATGTGCCACCATGCCTTGCTAATTAAATTTAAAAAAAAAATTTTTAGAGACAGGAGTCTCACTATGTTGCCCAGGCTGGTCTTGAACTCCTGGACTCAAGCAATCCTCCTGCCTTGGCTTCCCAAAGTGCTGGGATTATAGGTGTGAACCACCACGCCCAGCCCTACATATTTTTTTAAAGATGAAGAGAAATGCAATGTTTGTACCGACAAACATTTAAACAAAGACACGAATTAAATGAGAAGGCTATCCCTATCAGCTAGGCCCAATGCAGGCTCAGACAATAATGCTGTGCAGGACAGTAAGCTGCTCCAGGGTGACTTAGGATTTGGCAACATGGCAGTAGACATTTACCTGCCACATATTAGGGGATCTAATGCATTCTTCTGGAGACTCCATTTTTTCTCCATTTTCAGTGTCTGAAGCCCTTGCCAATGAGCAGTTTTATAACATACACAAGAAAACTAAGATTCTGGTGGAAAACTCCATCTCCAGACCCCTCAGCTGCACAATCGGGCTCCCTCCTGGGGATCTAAGGCCTGCAGTTCTGGCATCTGCACAAATGGTATGACTGCCAGATCCCATACTAGT